AAATCTGCAACAATTGCATGTAGAGATCATGGCAGTTATCGCCGCGCGCCTAGCTCAGGAGCTCAGTGAAAAAGTTGACGTCGAGATGGAAGCGCGGACGCTACTTCTGTTACTATTGTTACGGCGTAATCGAAGCCAAATAGGAAAGCGTACTACGTGAGTAGATGCACTATTATTACGTTGTTATACGGAAAATGATTTTTATGCACCCTGAGACAAGTTGACAAGTCCCATGTGACTGTAATTTCAAAAGCAAAAAAATAATAATACCGTTATTCTCGTAAGAATGCCAATTACTACTTTTGATTCTTGGACTATCATTCACATCGACGCTTGAGTTGAAGTCTCAATCGCATGCAGTCAATCTGTTAGCAGCCTAAGGTACCTGACACTATTGGATGAAAAGTTGAGGTTTGTATTCTGTATTTAAGGCTTAAAAAGTTTCTTAAAATGTCATTAGCTAGTGTAACAACGAAGTGGTACGAAAATTTATTTTACCTCTCACAGACTAAAGGTTATATAACATTTTTCTTTATACTTATATACTCAGAACCAAATTGTAGATTGGGGTGTCAGGTATCTTTGGGCATTAAATGTATTTATTGGAATTAACCCACAATACGCAGGTGTAAAAGTATACAGGTAGAATGCCAAAAATAGGGGTAACTTAATTTCGTCCCTATATTTCGTTAGTTTTCTGACGCATCGAAAACAATATTAAGCCGAATTGAAATTCCCTCTTCTCTCTCCATGTCTCCAATAAAACTTTTTCTAACCAGCAATAAATATGGTGATTCCTTAAGAAATAGATACTTATTTAAATCAGTGTAGTAGATACTTGTTTAGGTTGACATATAGATTTTATAGTAAAGATTAGTTTTACGACCTGCAATATAAAAATTGTATAATATCAGAGTAAAAAACATTAGCAATAAGGTTATGAAGGTATCACCGCTGCGGTAGGCAGAGTAAAATTACGTCACAACTTTGAACGCCAAAAAAGAACCGCACGATGATGAACTCATTTCCAGCTTACGTTTCGTTTAGAATTTCTTTAAACTTAGATAACAATATTGAATTGAATCAAACATATAAACAAGTAAATACAAGTTTATTAAAGAAAAACTTAGCAGTCACAACTAGGAGTGCCGCAGACGTCTGCAATCGCGGATCATTGGCATATTTTTAGATATCTGCTTCCGCATACGACATCCACATCAACCGATGCCGAGTTTTTGCGGATGCGGATGTTTTGCAGTACGACAAGATCGTCGAGAGCAGGCTCTACTCAAGGCGCGTACCGAGTGCTAGTGCTAATTAGCCAACTATGAACCGAAAATTCGGCAGAGTGCAGGCAACGACAAGTTTGTTTTCTAAACAAAAAATTATTGGTTTACATTGACTAGTGAAGTTCTTAATTCAAGATAGCTCAGATCTATTCGCATAAAAGGCGGCCCATGACGTCTTTAAAAACTTTTAACATTTCTATGCTTTATTTTTTACTTAATCATATTTCAACGATGAATGAATCCACAATGATCCACATTTATTCAGAAAAAAGAATTGACAACGATGAAAAATCCGCGTCCACGTCTGCAGATATCATCGCAAACCACATCTACGGCATTCCTAGTTACAATAAGTATAAACCACGTTTCTTATCTAAACTAAAAGAACGCTACCTATCTTGTTTAATCATAGAAACTTCGTATGGAAAGTATTAAAAAAGAATTACGAAGGTATGTCTACATGTGGACTTTCACGAACAATAATTTCCTATGGAACAACACGCAGAGTAGAAAAGAAGCACTGAACATTTCCACTTGAAATTGAAACCTGTTCATCTATATTGTTGTACTTTTAGGTGCTATTAATTTAATTATTTACGGAATATTGTAGTCGGTAACGTTCACATGAAAATGTATTGCAAACTAAAAGTTAACACGTTCATCGCCGTGGTGGGTCAAAATGGCCGCCTCTAACTATTTTGCGGCCATTTGGACCTCCAAAGGATTTTTGACGGCATACCTACTTTTCTTTAATTCCTAATTGAATTTAAAAGTTACAAAGCAATAATCTCAGTACAGAGTACTTACTAAAAAAACCGACCTCAAAAGTACGTGGAATTACGTCTATTTGCTAAGTTTCATTGAAATATCCCCTAGTTCGCCACTATACAGGACTTGATACTGGAGATAATAAAAATAGGTTCTCACTACGACACTACTCAAAGTATATCGAGGGAAAAACGCCTTGAATTGATGAAATAGGAAAAGCAACTAAATAAATAATTGCTAAAAGTAATTGCTCCTAAATTAAAGTTAGGCGCTATTTATAAAAATGAATCTTCATGCGTGAACAGCCACCCTTTGAGGTGGATGATTTTCTTCAAAATGAAATGAGACCACTATGGAAGTACCCCGTTTCCAACAAAAAAAAGAATCATGAAAATCGGTTCACAAATACCGGAGTTATCGCGTAACATACATACAAAAAAAAGAAAAAAAAAGAACGTACAGTCGAATTGAGAACCTCCTCCTTTTTTGAAGTCGGTTAATAAAAAAATGGTAAATGTGAATGTCATTCTAAAATCAAAGACGTATGTCAGTTTTACATAAACGTTGACCGGGGCAGCCTATACGTAATAATTATTCCATTCAGGCCGCGCCGGGTTCAAATGCCCGGCACTTCAAAAATTCCCGAATTAGTGCCAAATAATAAAATATCGCAAAAAAAAACTTAATGAGACAAAAACAAATTATATAAGCCAATGTCAATTTTTAATTCTAGCCGGCGACGAACGTGTTAAATTTGTTTATAAGTAACCACTTGGTAACCAGAAACAATAGCAAAATATGGAAAATAAGATCATTATGTTTCAAAATAACTACGATTAATTTTAACTAATCAGAATAGGTAGGACAAAATAACATAGACTCAGTGATATGTTAAAAATAAATTCGCTTTAACGACTAGTGAGCAAAGACAAAATGTGATTGGACATTTCATTTATTATAATTGATCGTTTGTTTTCTTAACACTTTAATTAGGCATCACCGTGATATATCCTTATGACTCCTCGGTGTCAAACACACAATTGCTTATTTCATAGAAACGCTTAGGCCACATTTACACTTCAATTAATTGTTCCCATACCTACGTCGACTCGCTAGACGTATCTCAGTTATTTTCATCTACGCTGTCTCTATAATATCTATGTCGTTTTTGTTCCACCTACAACAAGGCTATAATGTCTGCCCCGCTTTCATGCTTGATACTTCGGCTTTATCATATCTATGTTGTTTTTATTCTATCTACGTTAAGGTTATATAATCTGTCCCGCTTTTATGACCTCTAGTTCGACTTTATCATATCTGTGTTGATTTTATTCCATCTACATCAAGTCTATAATGTCTGTCCCGCTTTTATGCTCTCTATTACGATTTATAATATCTGTGTTGCTTTCATCCCATTTACGTCAATTGTATAATACCTGTCCCGCTTTTATGACCTCTACTTCGACTTTATCATATCTGTGTTGTTTTTATCTCATCTATGTCAAGTCTATAATAAATATACCGCTTTTATGACTCTACTTCGACTTTATTTTCTATATCTGTGTTGTTTTTATTCTATCTGCGTCAAGTCTATAATGTCTGTCACGCTTTTATGCTCTCTATTTCGATCTTTAATGTCTGTGTTGCTCTCATTCCATTTACGTCAAGTCTATAATACCTGTCGCGCTTTTATTCCCTGTAAGTTGTGTACTATAAGTGGAGTAGAAAATATCGGAATGCATTACCATAAACAATTTTTACTTGATTTCTGCAATATTGATCTCTGGTGTCATAACTGTGAGTAGATCAGTCTACGAACGATATCATTATTTTAACTTAAGATTATACTGAAAACTGATATATAGTAATCAAGTGAAATCGAAATTTGTTATGTAATAGGTATAATCTTATAGATAATTATTTATCTTTGATTTTTATATTTAAATTCTTTTAAATTATGTTGTTACAGGACAAATATTATTAACACATTACTAGTGAACACGTTCTTTATCAGTAGGTACTGTGGTCATTATATATAATTTACATGAAAATCAGATCAGTTGGATAATTTTCCGAAAAATTTCAAATAGTGGAAATTTTACCCGAAAAATTACCGAAAAATTAGAAAAATTTAAGAACTTGTAAAATATTATTTCGATGACTCATATTATGTTCTACATTTAAAAACATTTTTGAAGTTTTATTTAGCGTGAATTATAAAATAAACTTGTATAGCCACTTAGACAAAAACGAGATTGAAAATTATTCCACAACAGCGGAAAAACTTTTTTAATGGCTCCACCGTTTTCGTTCAGTAACTTCAACTTTGGACAGGCGTCAACGTTACGAAAATTAAGGCAAAACATTGGAAAAAAAAAATCCGGAAAATATTTATTTTTCTGAAAAATATGATTTTTTTAAATGGAAATTTTTCCACGACCCAACACTAGACCGAATTAATTATATCTGTTATGCGAACGAAAAGTGATGTTAAACGATATTCAGTACCCTTCATAATCAGAGCGCAGAACAATGGTCTTTAAAACTCGACGTAAAGGGACACGACGTTATTAAAACAACTTTTCAAATCTACCGTTGTATAAACCCTCTTTATGTAGAGTCTGTGCGAATTACTGGTAATGAAATAAGTTTATCCCTGTTTCGCATTATTGTCTTGCCAATAGTTGTCAATGTAGTAGTCGAATTAGACTAGACCGTGCGTAGTCTTGTTTAGACTGGTCTGCCTTTTTCAGTTTTTTTTAATAATTTAAGTGTAGGTATTACAAAATGAAAAGAATTAAGTAGTTACCCTTGACGTCCTTTTTACACTGTACTTAACCTATACACACGATCAAAAAGATTAAATTTAACTCTAACATTTTTTTCCTTTTTTTTTCTTCAAATTGCTAAAAAGTGGGCATGGGGAAGGGGGTGGCTATGCTATATAAATAGCCACAACACCAATGGAGTGGGGAATGTAATAATTAAAGCGGGACGCGTAGTCTCAAACACTGAGCGCGTCTGCTTACGTATATAACCACGAGCATGCCAGAATTGTTAACACAATGCAGTGTTAACATTACAATATTGAACACCATCGACTAAAGATGCCGTTTACATGTCGTTATCGGAGTCAACTTCGCCGGCGGCGTCGCGACGCTTCAGAATAACCCATACCACGCACCCGATTAATGAGGAGGTGAACGCCAAACTTGCGCTGACAGCTCCCAACATCGTAGGAAAGGTGTTGTTCTGCAGCAGACAGATGTTGTTCTCGGACCAAGCGCAGGTCAACACTGTAAAGGAGTATACATTTTAAATAAAGCAGAGATGATGAAATTAATTCGTGACGATCCAATACACCATCACACAAGTTTGTCAAACTTGCTTGTAGTTTACACTCGCTCATCTCTTTCTAGAGTCGTACAATCATATAGAAAAGATACCTGACCCCCAAACCGACTTTGTGGATCTATTGGTTCTGAGCACAAAAATGTGGAGAAAAATTGTTAAACAAACTTATTCTTTAACCATTGAGCCGTAATATCTATTTTGGTATGCTTCCGTGGTCGTCTCATTAGTGAATGACATCGTAAGAAAGTTTTTAAGCAATTTCTTACTTAAATACAGAATACAAATATCAACCAGCTATAGCAAGGCCGTCGTGGCCTAGCGGTATAAGGATTGCTTTGCAAGTTGAGGCAAGCATGGTTAGAGTCACATTAAAAATAAAATATTATTTAGCTATGACTATATAATATTGTATTTCTTTTTTGTTTTTAACCTCTGGATAGGTGTAAGAATGTCTAAGTCATCTTCATAGAGGACAATAATTTGTAATTTTAATAATTCCGTTTAGTGTGGCATATTATAACAAGAAAGAAAACTTTGAAAGTAATTAAAACTGAATGGGAACGAAACGTGGAACAATGCGAAATTACAGAAGACACGATCGTATGCAAACTGCAGAGCCCTACGCTTTATTAATAATATCTAACCACCCACCTTTGGCAATTTCTAGTGAGCGAATACACAAAAGCGAAACAATACTGTTATAAATAATTACGTTAAAACAAAATAGTGCTCGTGGAAACGAACCACGGGTATTGTAACCGGCCGTCATACAACAAGCCGCTCGACCAATTTACGAGGATGTCAAATGACGAAATTTAGCATTGGTTTTAAAAATATGTTGACCATCTTCAAGCAACACTCTACTGCACTGCTTATACAATCGGTTTGGGCATGCTAAAGGGTCAAGTATCTCATGTATATGACTGTACGTACCTTACTATAGTTCTTAAGATTACGACCAGGGAAGTGTTACCACCTTACCTATTCCTGTCGCCAAGCAATAATGTGAGCATTACTGTTTTCCGGAAGGGAAAGAGGGCTGGTGAAATTATAGGCACATGGGACTAGTCAACTTATAAGAACAACGGGTGCAGGATGCATTGCCCCTCAGATCTTTGCGCTTTACCACCTGGTGCACAACTCGTTCGTCCCCTCACTTGGTGTTATTTAAAAAATAAAACAATAATCAATTAGTGATGTTCTAATACTTTACCGATACGATTTCTTATAACAATCGATTTTATAAGAAGTTTAAATCGTAATTGAAATTCACAATTAATTCGTTGAACAACGATAGTTTATAAAGTAAACAAACAGTTTTAATCGATTTAATACATTGTCATTTTTAACATTATATTAGTTATATTAAGAAATAGGGTAACGTGCGACCTAGGTGGAACACTAAACCAGTAGAATTTATCATAATTATTTCAAATTAATTTATTTTCATTATAATTTATTAGACAGGCACCAAAACCGATACAACGGAGAAATCAACTTGATATAATCTTCGTTACATAATCTGTCGGCTTGATAAATATCGGAATCGGATATAGTAAAGAAAAATAAAACAGAGTGCATGAAGTATTGCATGTCTTTGTCTATAGTTGCTTGTCAATAATTATGAAACTTCATAGGCACGCTTATGTCAAAAGTAAAATAAATTATTAGACGGAGTATAATTTGTCAAGTCTCATATGCCTGTAACTTCACCAGCATCCTTACCCTTCAAAACCAGAACGCAGTAATGCTCACTACAGCTTGACAGCAGAAATAGGTAAGGTAGCAGTACTTCCTTGGACGTCATCTTTCACAAGAAGCTCTACTGCTACTATAACATAATGTTTCGTCGACTCGAGAGTCGGCCTGAGTTTCTGAAGTGCGGGGATGAGTTCGACGTTTTGCTCATTCAGGCTGAGTCTCGAGCGAGAATGTAGACGAGTTACCTCCGATGAAGAAGTAGGCCAGGTGTCCAACGACGAAGGTGACGACGGTGATAAGGGAGCCGGCGAGTCCGAGTGCCACGGAGCGGTCGCGGTGGTCCACCTCGCGGAGTATCAATACGCCCTGCAGCTGGAACGAGAGAACTGCCGCCGACGCGGACGTACGCGCGTCATACAACATGAATTACATCTATTTGCCAAGTTTTGTTGAAATCGGTAACCGGATTCATCCCCTAGTTTGCCACTCTTAGAGGTGGAATATTTTCGTCAAATTTAAATGACACTACTAGTGAGGTACCTTCTTTCCAACAAAAAAAATAATCATCAAAATCTGTTATCGCGTAACATACACACCAAAAAAAAAAAAGAAACATACAGACGAACTGAGCCTCCTTGAACCTCCTCCTTGTTTGCAGCCGGTTAAAAATTCATACTTAAAGAATTAGAAAAAAATTTCGAAAACTTTTTATCGATATGATGAGCTACATCACAAATTAACATTATTGAAAAAAATGTTTTCATATAACACAAAAATTTTTTTAACATAATAAACATTGATTTGGTGTTATTTTTACTTTAATTCAACGTAATTACTTAAACAATATTTAATTTAACATTAAAAACGAATTTAGTGCACGTCATTACAAGGTTATATTGTGTAGATTTTCATGAACTGTGACGGGGATCATCTTAAATTATTTTTAGTACAGATCCTGCTAATGTTACAATTTGCCAACAACTAATAGTAGCGCCTTACTCGTGAGGGTGACGGTGACCAAGAACAGGAATTGGTGTAGTCCAACGACGCCGAAGCAGGAGAATGCGCTGCAGGAATTACCGTGTCCGTGACCACCCACCCACGTGCCGTTCACTTCGATGCCCGTCATATTGTATTGGCCACATGTGCAGTCGGTCAAGTACCTGTTCGACATACAGTTAATATTACTTTATTATTTTAACACCTTCTAGCTAATTGGAAAAAGCCCTTTTAACCATAGCAACATCGTCATTGCTCGTATGTATACGTACGTAATTGAAATTAGTAATATTATAGTACATTACGATATTAGTGCGCAAAGATGGTTATAACATGCGAGCTTAATTGAGCCGAGCATGTTATTATAACCAATACGCACGTATATCGTACGACGTTTTTTAACACATTTGCGAGGAAACAGAAAAAAAAACATTTTATATTTTGTTCATTTTTAATTATTGAAACAGTTCTTAAATTACCAAATAAACTGTTTTTTTTTTTAAATAAACTCAATCTGTGAATGCACACTGTTGCTTTCCCGCCATTTTAACAGAACTGCCTACTGACTGGCGCCGCGCGGCGATTTGTTCGAAATTTGAATAGCAACAGCGCGCTGCTCACTAGCTGGAGTCGTGCGGCGGCGATCAGTTCCATATTTGAAATGGCAAATAATACTGTTATGGAATTTGTATGGACTATAACTTAACTATTTGCTTTGGTAACACACGCGTTTTTTATGACCCGCTTTACATATTTAAAACCGGTGGAATTACAGCAGCTTTACGAGCAAGGGTGTTAAAAATATAGTAACCCACACACTCAACATATCCCCGCACTAGGGAAACCCTGTGTCGCGGGTGCCGTACACACACATAGACTAGACACATAAAATTGTGGTTACAATTTACACTTTCGAGAGAAATAAACGAAGGCCATACAAATATATGTCCCGGCCCGGGAATCGAATCTGGGACCTATGCGTGGCATGGTAACGATTTCGGCACGCAGGCAGTTAATAAATATTAAGATATTCCTTGTGTTATTTGTGTATTCCAGTTGAGTTCAGTTATGAGAGTTGAATTAATATAAGTTACTCGAAGTACTTATACAACGCAGATGAAATCGCGGGCACCAGGTAGTTGTAAATCAAAATGTAATATACAGCCATTGACTTACAAATAAATGGACGACGGGTCTAATACAAAAACCACGAAAAAAATGTCCCAAGTCAACCTATTTTAACGTAGTGACATGTAAAGGAATATGAAAAAGCTAAAACGTTGAATTTAAATTGTAATGTCATCGCAGTACTGTCTAATTTTCCTTGCTTCGCTGTCAGTCGAACAAACGAAGACTAAAGCGCGAATGACGCTCTGTATACGATTTTAACGCCCTATAAGTTCGGACACTTTTTAGCGCGGACCCGACGTCCATATAATTGTAAGTCAATGGCGCACACGCGGTAAAATTGACGTTTTGTTTCGTTGGTATTGCTTAAGTAGTCAACATAACAATGATTATTTGTTGGAATTGGCAACACCAGCAGTATATAGGCTTGGCGTCTAGGAAATGAAAGTAGTTTTTGCGGCGGTCAAAATAGTAATTATTTGTTTTGCTTAATAAGTATATTATTCAATAAAATTTCACTTCTATTTTGGTGAGCAACGAAAAGTTATTCATTGTTTATTATTTCTATAAAATTTATATTAAATTTCTGAAACTTGTGGAAACCACTTTTTCTTAAGAAATCACATCCACAGCACCTATTGTTCAAACCTGAAAGGTGTGCGTAACATTTTTTTAACATTTTGTAAGTGGTGAGTTAAAGATATTTTCGGGTATACTTACTCCACTCCAGCAAACTCCTCGATCTTCTGGCATCCGGCGTGGCATGGGTTGACGAAAGTGACGGGCGTAAGGTCGACAGAGCCTACGCAGACCGGTGAGAAACCGTTCCAAGGGGAAGCGCAGCTGCACATTTGAATTAAAAGTTCATTTCATACTCACACTAAAGGCTTCTGAGTGCCCTACCTGCAGTTGAGTAATTGCCCGAGAAATTTTAAATAGCAGAAATTTTTTCGGAAAATTGGAAAAATATTAATTCGAAGGCTCATGTGATATTCTACTTTTAGAAATATCTTTTGAAGTCCTATTTAGCGTAAATTGATGAAAATGAACTGTCATTTAGCTCCGTTTTCAAAAAAGACAGACTATAATTACTAATGCATTTCTCGGTCATGACACAACGAAATTAGGCAACACTAGCTAGTGCATAAAACTCAGTCTCTTTCACACACAGTGACGTCATGATAAACAGTATGACCGCAGGTCTCATTGGACCTTTGGCAGTCTCCAGTTGGTTTTAATGCACTGAGATTGGACGTTAAAAGACGGGATATGAGTGTTTTTGAAACTGTTCTATAAACCAAAAGTAGTGCCATTACAAACATTATAAATTACCTGCAGTATTCGCTGCAATTCGGTCGCTCGTATGAGAATCCGTCAAATCCTTCTATTGGGCAAAGCTTGCAGTCCAGAGCCAAAGTAATGACGAGATAGAGAAAGCCCACAAGTACATTCAGTTTGAAAGTGATCGCAGAGTTCGTAGCTCGGTTGAAGACCTTCCTGATCGGCGGTATCTGCTTCAACCCAATCAGCTGCAAACGGAAATACATATATAACTCAAAACCTTAGTCTTGGGTTTCGTTCTCATCGACACAACCTCAAATGGTTTTAGTTGATTCCGCTTAACTAATTATACTATTATTATTAATAGTTGGTAAATGAAGGAAAGATGCCGTCTGTACCAAAAACGCCTTGCCGTCTAAGTCTTGCCCAGAGGTTTTATTGCTATCTTGGCAGTCGACTATATCACCTACCAACAACCAGCTGTAAGCGAGCGGTGGTAAAGTGGCTTAAGTGATTGGACTATGACAAGACTGAAAAACCTTTTTCATCCCACGTTCTAATTAAAGTATTGCTACTGTAGGGGCCAATACTACGCTATAGTATGGACGCCTAATTGTTTAAATTGATAGATGATAAAAGTATAAAGTAAGAAGATACAAGGCTCGTTGAGGATGTGTATCTCTTACGTTGTTGTTACGTTAAGACATGAATGTTCGTTAAACACTCAAGATGTCTAGATGAAGTGAATGCTCGTTTAATACTAAAATTTCTTGCCTACTTATGTGCCCATGTAATGTATGTAAGACACGGACAGTAGGGCACAAAGTAGAGCGCAAGGTAAGCGGAAGAAAAATGTGCGGTTGTAAACCGTACAGCTACATACATTTGCCCACCCAAATACAAACATCTACAACACACGCAAGCACACTAGCCCAAGTTCTCTTTTACCGATTTACACAGACAAATCTATTTATTTTTTATATTTTCCTTTACGAACACGTATCTCAATTTTCATTATTTCACTCCATTTTACTGTTGATTTACTGTACCTACCTGATTTTAACGTAAATGTAAGAACGGAAACCTGGTGACCTGTATTTTTATGCCTATCTCAGGCACCAGCCTCTCGCAAATAAGGTAGAATAATAACGCATAGAAACCTATTCCGCACACGCTAAGTGAGGCCAATTGAAGCGCGCCCAATGGGCCTACACGAGCGGGCGGGCCTTCAGTGCTCAAGGTCAACTTGCACCGCGAACAGATAAAAAATTTTAGCTAAAAATGACGAAAGGTGCGGTAAATGAGTGTAAAAACACGCTAGACAAACATAAAATAAATACTAACATCACATTCCACAAGGAAGTAACGCGTTTCAACTTGTATGTTTATATAAATATTCACTAAAACCGAAAATTAACCTACTACTAAAACTAGCCTACATGAATTTGTATTTTGCCTCACTTGTGACAGTTCGTTTGATATGAAACTATCATTCTATGCGTTATTATTCTAAGGGTTTAATGTAGAAACTCGTTAGTCAGTAAGCATTTATACAATTTACCTTGCATGTTGAGAGAAAATAAATATATTATTATTATTCTAAAAAATCCGTAGTAGTGACCCGTTTAGCTCTTGCAGGTAGTGTCGATCTAGTTCGAGTGAAATAAATATTATAATTAATGATAAATGTATGTTTATTGTAGGGTGACTATATTAATTTAGATAAATAGAATTACATTATCGTTAATTATATAAGTGCATATTTCTACTTACTGTTTATATTTATATACATACCATTAAAATATTGGTGTTTAATGTGTAAGATAAATAATTTTTATACCTTCATACACATAATTATAAATATATATATATAACAGTACTTTAAATGTGTAAAGTAAAGTATAAAATATGTGTAATAGATATAATATACAGACGTACAAGCGCATTGTGTTGTGTTATTAGATATTTGTGAACGTCCAGCGGCCGGCAACATGATGGACCGGTCGCCGCGAACAATAGCAAGGGCGGAGACGAGTGCGGCAGTGGCATGACGTGGACGAGTCGCTTCTTTGCTTTCGAGTGGAATGCGTGTCGTATGCTCAGTAATCTTGGCTACCCCGCTATTTTTATTATTTTTGCGAGCTATTGCTAACCGATGTAATTTGTGTTCGATATGTTCCTTCTGCTTAAAACTCTTATCTTCCTTCTGTGCTTGTGTAATCTCTGTGTTGTTTCCGTGAACGATTCTACATTTACAAAGAGCAACCCCTAGAGTTTCTTGCTCATTCTCAGGGGAATCTGCCTTACTAAAAGCAGTAGAGATTAATCATTATGATTATTTCAACTGCAATTTGTTTACCTATGAAATGAAGACGATATAAAACCCGAATTTGGATTGCAACTGATATTTCTGTTGAAAAACGTTGTTCTAACGACGAATTGTAAATGTAATGCAAGAAAACACAGCTTACCATGACAGGAATTACCACAATATGATACATGAGGATGTCGCTAATCAAGCCTGCGCCGAAAGTCGGGGGCACGACGTGGTACATCGTCTGCAAAAAAATTGTTCTCATCAAGACTTTTTTACGCCGCTGCTAATGCATGGAGAAATACTTTAATTATTCCGCCTTCCTCACCACAAATAACGTAATCGTAAGCGAAATTGAGTTATTAAGGGGATGTATTTAAACGTAGCCTAGGTTTTAGGAGGTGAGGTGTGAGGGGGAGTTATTATGAATAAAGTAAGAACCGGTGGAGAACATTTAACACAGATACGACGTCAACACAGATAAACCGCTAGGCAATTTGCAAATCTCGCAACGTACTTACGTTATTATAATAATTTAATTAATAAATAATAAGGCCCACGTAAAGGTGTTTTGAGAATTTATATATCTTATTTCGTTTCGGAAATATAAAATCGAACAAAGGTCGATCTGACATCCACAGCGAAGAAGAATGAACGAAATGTACTATGTCCTGAGAACAAGTAGTCTTGCACATAGACCTTTGTTCTACGGATGAGTCGAAATGTAAATTTAATAACTAAAAATAGCAGGTTCTCTGTACTACACGGTCAAGACACTTAAGATTTAAATCCAACTCTATGCCGTTTACTATAAGAACAGTCTAAAGTACAAAGTGTCAAGCTTGACTGTACTTAAAGAGAATGTACAAAGTTAGATATTTTATTCTTAAATAATTCGTTTTGGACTTTTATATTAACCTGTTTTCAGGATTTTATATGATCGAATAAAGTACATCCTGTCGTGTAACGAATTAGCACGTTCTTTAAAAAACATCCGTATATTTTTTGTAGGACCATTATCTAATAGTAAATCTAGCAAAACAGTTTTTCCCGCTTCTCGTCCAGTGACTCGCCGTAACAATCTGGGATCAACGAAACGAGATCAAAAATCGATTTTTGCGTTTAGTTTATTTCGTTTTATTGAATTTTTATTAGATTACACGGAAAAGCGATCCGGTCGATTCAGAAGCTTACGATAACTCAGCTGTCGACCGATTTCTTTTCATTTTTATTCCCAACACCCGAACGAACGTTAAACTGTCGTATTCGAAACCGAACCGAAATGACGTCATACCGGTACGATTACTCGAGCGTCTCGAGCGGCAATGACAACAAAAGTTTAAGAACACAGTTATCGAATGAAAGTTACCGAACGTCCTATTGTTTACAAAGCAAGAATGTAATACGGAAATCTACTCTCTCTCTCTACTCTTATTATTTTAAGGATTTTCAATTTTCTTATAATCTATTTCACCAACTAATTCCGTAACTCAACTTTATAACGGAACTTCAATCGGAAGTTTACAACTTCTTATTACTGAACCAAACGACTTGAAACTCCGAACGTTCCTACAGATGTTGAAACTTGAAAATGTGTACGAAACTTCCGCAGTTGCGGAAGCAGAAGCGGAGCTCTGTTGCACCACTAGTTCAAAGTGTTAACGAGTTAATTAATAAAGTCGAAGCTCGGTGAAGTTTATCTTAAAAGACATTGGATTCTAAGTTTTGTTATAAAGGTAACGTACCCTAATGAGAGCCTTTTCGTACCATCCAAATCCCCAAACGCTAGCTGCTAGAAGCGACATTATGACCATATAAGACAAGGCCAGCTTAGACTGCATCACACGAGTCACACTCTGCAGGTAACCTGTAACGAAACAACAGAATTCTAAGGCTATAAACTGGGCTGAAAAAAATCACAACTCCATCGTTACAAGTTAAATTTCAAACGTAATTGCGCGCGTAATCTTAAGGTGCTTTTCCACAGGCGAGGATTGAAAGTTGTATGGCAAAATTTCAATTCTCTCCAAGCGCAACTTCGGTGGAACTGATCTGGATTGACGAGGATGTGCGAGGCGAAAATTGAAATATTTGTTGACGTCATATTGAACCGTATTGCTGCCTACAAAGAGTAATAAACTCTGCAATGGAAACATGATTTATCGCGCGAGGTCCCGAGTATGAGAATTGCAAGATGGTGGGGTACGTACGATTTGAGACAAAAAAAAATTGCTTCATCTTAACTCTTCCGTTATTATATTTAATAATAATAATTTACTGGACATGTTACTTCAGCCGCGTCTTTATCGCTAGACTATCCACAACCACAGCGCGAGCGATTAATGGCAATTTTTGGTGGCAACAGGCCGTCAATTCTCGTCTCGTCTCGCCGGTGGAAAACCACCTTTACGATGATAAACGGTGCGTCGCAGCTGATTCATTTCTAGCTTATGAATTAAAAGAAAATATTGTTGCAACCCCACTAGTGTCAATTAGATACTATCACTAAAACTTGTTTAGGCAATTCCTATATTCAGTTGGCGAACTTACGATCTGTTACATCCGTTGGTATGCGTGAAAAAAATAATAACATTAGTAAAAAGTATTCTAAACTTACAATAATGAACACAGAGATGGGCAGGAACTCGAGTTTTAACCCGGTTACTGACGCTGCAGTTCTAAACACTAATAAGAAAAATTCTGATTACTTACCACGACCGGTCATAGACATCACTTTCATGTCCGGCTCAGATGGTGGTGCCTGTTGAGGTAGCTTGATCAGTTGGAGAACGCTGAGCATTAGGGGGCCGGTAACGCCGAGGGCCTGCAGCCAGTATGGCATTTCCTTAAACAAGATTTTGGGCAGCACCACCAGTCCCACTACGCGAGTTGTAACCAGTAGACCTAAAGGAAAGAGAATTAGTAAATCAAAACAAACCTCTAAAGTTTGCTCAAGGGATCAAGAGGTCAAGGGTTCGAATCCCGGGCCGGGAGTAATATTTGTATGGCCAATATAGGTAATATTTCTCTCGTGAGTTTGGGTGCAATTTGTAGTTGTCTATGTGTGTGTCCACGGCACCCACGACACAGGATGTCTACTATGACCTCTAAGAGCAATCCTATTTAAGCCTGTAAGTTGAATTGCCTGTCAAATTCGTACTATGACCTCAGTAAAACAATTCACAGTCCATGCAGTTTACTTTCCCCATTCGGAATCCGTTCACCTTTTCTTTCAAAGCAAAATCGTATCATGACGTCCATTTGCTATGCAAATGGCGGTCTCATCTGTTAAAATAAGCAATTCATATAAAGTTACTACGTGACTGACATTTTTAGAATTTAGTTTAATATTTATTATATTTTCAGTTTTATAATTATTTGTTAAGCCAATTGTCAATAAATAAATAGGTACTATTAACTATTAAGCGTTTTTAGACAATTTTAGTTCCAAAGTTCCCAATCTTTAAAGTATTGTTGATAAATTATTGGCATGAATGTTATTGCAATTTTTAAATGGACTTTTAATCATTTTAATAATTTTATTGACAGAAAAACGTAAAATAACTTTTAAATAGTGCCAAATTTGGCTATAATGCAATCAATGAAAATGTACGTTCCAATTATATTATCAAATTACAAACTCGCCTTATTAATTTCAATGATAATGACTAGACATGACATGTAATTTTGTCGTACGACAAATTGTAAAGTATGATTGAAAAGTTGTCGATATTACAAAACAACGTAATAAGCATAATAATAAAAAAATATAATTATTCGCACTTTGAACACAATCTGTGCTTGCGCTTAAACGCTCCCAGGATAGTACATCTGTCTATTTCTTTCATATGATTTAGTATGTAGTTCCATCTCGCTCTTGTTAGAAGTCAGCTAGCCAGCCAGAGACAATAATTAACGTTTAAAAAGTAAAACTCATCATCCTGTTATGCCATTCCCGTTCAACTTTGTGTAGGTCATGATACGAATTTAAGCAATTCAGTTTTACCACGTCAAGTGAACTGCATGGAACTTCGAAAGCTGTTCATAGTAGGCCCCCAGGTCTTCTCTAGTGCTGGGCTATGAATGTGTGCGTTATTTATTTACTATATTATGCATACCCCACGGAAATACATGGTAATGGCACAGTGTAAAGAACATACAGTGGGACATCGCCTTTGAAGGTTCGCGAAATGCCACTATCAATGAATGTCATACCGCAGGGTTGTCACCATGTATTTTTTTTATTTAGTCTCTAGAGGTGGGTGTGCTACTACTATATCAATACCGGGAATATTAAAAAAAGAAGTTGATGTGGGGGTAGTTTTCTATGTGTCCACAGGGTTTCTCTAGTGCGGGTTATGGGCGTGTGCGTTATTTATTAATTATAGTATGCATATCCCACCGAAATGCATGGTTATAGCATCAGGGCGATGCTCGTCGAGGTAAGCGATTCCGTGACACCATATGCCTTGGCGAGCCACTGCGCAGCAAGCACCGACGAACAGAATGAACGCGAGGCGCACCGAGGATAAGGCGTTCATGCTCAGCAGCGATTCTTGCGGGGCACCAGTGCACAAAACTGGGAAACATTATTAATCATTCAAAAGGCAATACATACTAAAATCACGTAGCATGAGCGGGCGGCACCGTAAGGCCTAGTTCCCACTATGACCGGTGAATTTGCCGGGTCGGTAAAACTGCCGGAAAGACTAGTGTCTGTACAATTTATACGAAGCTCGGTATTGTTGCAGGAGCGTTTGTCACTGCGGACCGCCGGCAGAACGCCCGGACCGAAGTTAATCATCAAAAGAGGATGCTGTCATACGAAAATAATTGAAGAACTTTGATTCGTTATTTCTCAGTTGGCCCTTTAATGTTTCAAAAGTTCCAAGTAAAATGACAACGACTTCGTGCATTAACTGAATGAAGTCGAAACCGACTTCATGAAGTCGAGAATGCGACTTCGACGTTGGTTACAACTTCACGCTTTAGCTGCAATAATGCAGTCAATCTGTTAGCAACCTACGGGTAATCAAAATTATTTGTTTTACACAATATTAGAAAATAAATTCCACTATCGAGTTCTTAGGTTTTCGCGATTGTGAGCTTCTGCGAACATGCCTGGGAGGCTACTCTCGATCTGCGTCCGACATCCGTCCGAAACAATTGCTGTCAAATAAGTAATATTCGACAAAATTAAAAGACAAGTATCAAGTATGAAGCTTGATTCGCATCACGCGTCTTTTCATTTGGTCAAGTATTGCTTAGGAAATGAAACTATTTTTCCGGATTTAAATCGCGTATATTTGTTTTTTCAAACAAACCGACGTTTCGGGCCCTTTACAGGTCGCATGGTCACGGTTGACTGTCACAGTCAACCGTGACCCTGGGATCCGGAAAAATAGTTTCATTTCCTATAAATTCCAATGTTTATGAAAACGATACCCTGAACAACAACAAAAGATGGCGATGGCAGAAATAGACCTTTTTTTTATATAAACAGATGGTAAGCTTCTGTTCTTTCATAGAACTAAAATCACCCGAAGTAAAATGTTGTAAAAGGTAAAAACGCATACAGCCATGGTGGCAAAGATATAAAATAAATAATTTCGACATATTAGGATTTGAATTTATAAAATTGATTCAGTAAATGTTTACTTACTTTTCTATACTTCAAACTAATATGATATAATTCAAATTTTTCGAGCATTAAAACTTTTTGTTTAACCTTGACGTATAAGGCGGTAATGTAACAAAACAGCCCGTGGTCGTAGTAAATCAGCACATAACAGCCGACTTAGTCTGCATGTTATGGCACTGTTTACGTGCGATTGTGACGAAAAAGAATTTGTTACTTTTAGTGACCAAAATTAGCTCCTCAAGTACCGACGCCGTCTTCATAGACAACGTCCACAATTCAATGAGTGTGAACGTACAGTTTCCTTCAGGTAGTTCCAGCGGAGGTAGAGGAACCAGCAGTAGCACGGCAACAGCGGGAACAAGAAGCCACGATATCAGAGCAGAGCGGCGACGGCCATAGCCTGCCCAGGACACCGGCGGCGCGAGAATCACTTCCACCATTGAGATGGCCACTATTGCCACATCTAAAAACCGGAAACTAAATTAATATTAAGAACCTATGATTATTAATACAAATCCATCGGGTCGAAGAATTTTGTCTGTGTGTTCGTTGTAAAAAAAAACTAAAATTAATAGTAAAAAAAAAACTAGTGGAGTTATTTTACAGAAAAAACCTTAATAATACATTGATCTAAAAGATACATCAACGTTAGCTTGTGGCACCTGTAAAAGTACCGGCTGCGGTGAGCAGGTTCTAAAATCTCTCACTAGATGTCACTAGCAGCGCCGAATATCATTATCATTTATATCATTTATTATCTCCCAACAATTACAAAGTACATGATTGAACACAGAGCTTATACGATGTGTTGATTTGCATTCTCGTCATATTTACACAGGTCATTCATTCTATATCCGAAACTGAACCCAAATCACTAAAAAAAAATGAAATGAAAAAATATATAACTATGCTTGATCCAAAGGTTTGAGTTGCACTACACATGCCACAGGTACCGGCAACCAATTGAACAATGACCTATGCGCAGAAAATAATATGCATTTTAGATCTATTTAGTGGTAAGGTTCGGGTAGGGACGGGGGGAGTATCGTATAGAGCGCGTGATTGGTAGATCATCAGTCGACCTTCAGATTTCCTCAATACATTGAAGTACGACAGAAATGGCTTATAATGCTAAAGATAGAAGACTGGGTTCCCAAATAGTTTTCAAAAATATGCAACAAACACTTTGAGGAAAAATGCTTTTCCTTTAGAGGTAAGCAAAGAGTAAAGCTAAGTTCTGGTTCTGTACCCAAATTATTCATGCCGGTATGTCTTACAATTAATGGATTGATTAATGAATTTGTCCAGCTTGTCGGTTGCGGGTCTCAGCTTGGTTCGTGGCCACCATATTATCGCGCCGTAACTGATGATGGGTCTTATCAGCGTTTTGTAGAGCCATAGTGTTACCTTGGGTGAAAGTCCCCATTGTTTACCTACCATCCTATGGCACTGCCAGAAGGTGATAGTAGCTTTCTAAATTTTGAATTTAATCATTAATTAATTAGGTAATTAACGTCTCGGCGTTTAGCGATAAGACATTTTGGTGAATACGACGAAGTGAAATATGTTAATCGATATTAAAGTTAAATCAGTGGATGGCGCAACACTATTTATCTTGCACACATGCACATTATATATATACACAGATGTATTTTTGTTTTGGTCTCGTCTCCAATACTTCAGGGCCAATCTATGTAAGTACCAAATCTAAGTTACAAAATCTTTTTTCAGTCAACTTTTCTAATTAATGTAAATAATTAGTAAATTATAACAATACTAGTACATAAACATAATTTAAAAAAATAGGTAAATAAGCGATCGAGAAAGATTAGGTTCCTTGTGAAAGTGTTCGTCCAGGGAAGTATTGCCACCTTACCTAATTCTGCCCCCAAGCTGTAATATCATCATTACTGTGTTCCGGTCTAGAAGGGTAAGGGTGCTGGTGAAATTACAGGCACATGAGACTTGTCAACTTATGTCTCAGGGTGACGGACGCAGTGGCAGTGCCCCTCAGACCCTTGCGATTTAAAGCTCTGAGTGGCACTGCAACTGTTATGGACAGGCGTGTATCTTACCATCAGGCGCACGACTTGTTCGTCCCGTCACTTGATATTATAAAAAAAATTGATAATTATAGCAAAACTAGTGGAGTTATTTCAATAATCTCAATAATACATTATGTACCTAATCAACCATTACATGGATGGTTTGGGCCGTAGCCTGCCATACTGGTCCAAAGCTGATTGGAGATTTCACACGTTTGCCAAGTCTTGCAAACCGTCTTCGACATACAGGTTTGATCACGTCGAGGACAACATCACCACCAACCCATTATCGACACCCACTGCTGGGCGCGGGTCTCAGGTTTTACGTTTTCCGAGAGCTATGTAACCTTCTTCGACGTGCAGGTTTCAACTGCCTCTGTGGCCGAACGGTTATCATGCCCCAGGTTCGATTCCCGGGCCGGGAGAAATATTTGTATGGCCTACATTTATTTCTCTCGTCAGTTTGGGTGTAATTTGTGTGTGTCCATGGCACCTGACTCAGGGTTTCCTTAGTGCGGGGCTATGTTGAGAGTAGGTTATAAGACTAGGCTATCACGGTTTTTATAATACAATTACAAGTATACTCACCGCCGATGTACCATGGGAGAGCACCGTACTGGATGTAGTCGTTCAGCATCATGTGGATGATCACCTCGGCCATCGTGATGGCGACGACGGCGCCCATCAAGATGGCTCGCAGAAACCTCGGCGTGAAGTTAGACGGGAACATCATGTTCGCCACGTAGCAGCCCGCTGAAAAACGACCACTTAGTTATTACTAGCATTTCAATTACACTGCACAAACAAATCGACCCCTACTACGTATAGTATCGTATGTCGAAATTTACAGGGGAGCGTTTAAAAGTTCTAGTTACTCACATAGAGCGTTATAAAATCCTAGATATCGGTTACATGAACAACCACAATTTATTTTATAATTTTATACTAACGCGGATATGCGTCAACAAGCGGGTAAACTAAAGTGAGACTAGGCGGGTCAGGTGACAGTATAAAATTATAAAATAAATTGTGGTTGTTCATCTAACTGATATCAAGGATTTTATAATATTCTATGTGAGTAACGAGCTTTGCCGAATAAAACTGAGAAAATCTGCCGTGTCAGGGCGCGTTCCCACTATGTCGTGACGACAGATTGTCGTGCAGTATACAGTGGCGTGGCTTGTATATTTAAATTAATTTGTTCACATACGACACGATTAACTATTTTTGTCGTTCATGATTTTTTATCGTTGCAACAACAAACTGTCGTCACAGTGGGAACAGCTTGAACGACAGTCGTCAGACGATAAAAAAACGTCACGATAAAAACGTGACGACGGATTGTCGCAGTTCCTACTGTCGTCACGTTTTATTTATTGCTGTCCGCACGTATTCTGCTCCCTGCCCTCCCCTCTCGAACCCCGCGCCCTCTGCTCGCTTTGCAGTAGCATTGGGTCGTAGCCAGAGATGGGCAAACGCCCAGGCTTGAACTTTGCGTTTTGCTAAACGAAATCTAGGGCAAAAACTAGTTACGTCTAAATATTTGTTGTGAATTGAGTTTTGTTCAAATTTAATTATACATTGTGTTTTCTTTTGTAATGTGCTCTGTAAGTCTGTCATTCTTGAATAGTCCCAAAATTTCCTATCATCACTGTTCAGTTCATCAATAAACGTTTGACATAACCCTAATGGAATTCATTTTAGTAGTTTTTGATGTACCCAAAACTTTTTTTCTTTGTTTGCTTCCTCTTCCGCATTTTTAAAAAGTAATACATTATTAAAATTTCGTCTTCGTCCATTTCGAGCGAACACACACTACAGGCTTCCAAAAGAACATACAAGTAATTGCAGTGCATCAAACGATTCTGTCGTGCAAACGACAAGGAGGCTATCGTGAAACGATAAATTGTCGTCACGATCTAGTGGGAACAGTTAGTCACGACAATCGTTCAACGATAAAAAATCGTCCACGACAGATAGTCGTGATACGGGAACAGGCTCGACACGACAGTCGTCCAACGATAATAAAACGTGACGACATAGTGGGAATGCGCCCTCACACACATCTCTGTTATCTTAAGATAGGCGAGTTACGCGTAAATTACTTCGGTCTACTTTATTAGAGTACAAAATATTATTTTTTTTGTAAAATGTATTTACGAAGATATAGTATAGGTATGCCAAATGCTTGCGTCTCATTAATTTAATGCAATTATAACGCGATTTTCATTTCTCTAAACTTAATTGAAATAGGCAATAGAATAACAAAGCGTTTGCTATAAAGCGCACAAGTATGTAAAATAATAAATATAATTATTATCCAAAGTGGATTTGCCAACATCAGAATTGTTATAATTACATTTGTGATAATGGAAGACAGAATTTTGTTTGCATTTTTATGATTAGGCCCAAATTAATTTGATCCATAATTACTACTTTCCATTTTTATGAATCATAAAATTAAATAATGTTTCATATAAAACAAACTGTTTTATTAACATACCCAAAAACACCTAAACTTTTAACTTTTCTTTGGTACGGGAACTATTTGTAATTTATATCATAAAATATTTGAAATGCCTATTTGCTGTAAATGAATATACACGAGATACATAAGCATGAGATAGCCTTTGGCCAAAATATTGATGCTGATAATGGGCAGGGTCACGTAACTCAAAATAGGTGATACGCTTAACACGATATGTATGACATTAATTAAATGCTTAAAGTACAAATAAAATCATAAAAAAATAACGATGACAATTGTCATTGTGGTAGTTACACGATTTTGAGGTATTGTATAAAATTCATTTCAAACTTAATTTCCCAAAACTGGTTATCACACCAATACTTATCACATATTTTTTAAAATGGTTTTAAAGGGATCGATATAATACGTAAATTGATAAAAATAAACGTATCTAACTGGGTGACGAAATATTTTCATACTTCTCCTAGGTGGCGCTACGGTTAAAAAGCCGTTGAAAAACCAAGTACAAATATACGACAACAAGCACATAGAAAAATTCGTGAGGTCCGCTGGTTCGTTCCGTAGCTTAGTTGGCATAGCGTCTGACGGTATGCTAGAAGACGTAAGTTCGAATCCGGCCGGACCGAAGGTTTTTTTCTGAGTGTTCGATCTTTGTATTAATAATTATAACACACTAGTGGAGTAATTTCAAATAAAAAATTATTGAATATCAATTCAATAAAAATTTAAAAAAATTGTTAAAAGCCAGAATTTTTTTTGCTTTTTTACATAAAAATATCCTGTTTTCATGTATATCATAAGTTCCATGTTTGAAAGTAAACCTAACACTAAATGGTATCTTTTTGGCGATGCGCCTCTGTCATCGTAATCTCCCCTTTTTATCAACCTTTTCTCTGGTTCGTCATTCTTAAATTCCTTTTTCTTCTTCGTCACTTACTTTTCTTCTTTCAATCGCCACTCTACTAAATTTAAAAAAAAAAACCAGAAAAAAAGGGTGGTAAAAAGCTGAGATGACGATGACAAAAAGTCGTATCGTCTCATCTTTACTTTTAAATATGGAACTTATACATAAAAGAGGATATATTATTTAAGTCAAAAAATGGTATTTTGACTTACAACAACTGACGTGTGAGGTATCGAATATATTATCCACGTCCGTATAAGCAACGATATTTCAATTAACGAACGACAATAGGTACGCCATAATGTGAGAATCAATCCCCATCGTTATGATAGAAATACAGTGTACGAATTGTTTATATATTATTTTTAACCGACTTCAAAACAGAGGTTTTAATTCGACTGCAACTTTTTGTGTGTATTGAGAAGATTCTTGTTTTGTTGGAAAGAGGGTACATCACTAGTGGTCCAATTTTAAATTTCAAGAAAATATTCCATTACATTACTTCATTCATTTCCGTTAATACGTTCATCGCCGTGGTGGGTCAAAAGGACCGGCAGCTCGTCTACCTATTGGGGCCCAGGGGGTCAAAATGACCGGCACGACGTACCTAACTTTGCGATGTCAGTGATGCAATTTAAGAAATGGTTAACGTGAAATGTCATTTTAAAATCAAAGACATAAGTTTTACGTAAACATTGATTGAACATTACGTGTACAAACGTGGTAGTTATTATTAAGGCAACGCCGGGTTAAGCCACCCGGCACTAAAAAAATCCCAAAACAGAGATAACTATTGAAATATCGCGAAAAAAATTATATACATACTTATACAAATGAGACCAAAAACAGTTGTCTAAGCTAATGTAATTTTTTGGAGATTTTCGAAAATTCTAGCCGGCGACGAACATGTTAACCGAATAAACTTGGCAAACAGATTGAATTCCACCAAGTGTTGAGGTAAGTTCTAATTATTGTAATTTCGAAGATATTTGTGTTTACCAAACAAACATTTCAGGCCCTTCACACGTCTCATGGTTAAGGCTTTTTGCTAAATACGCTATGGATAAAACTACAATGCAATTAAGTTCTATAAGCCGCAGGTCCATTTTGATCCGTCCGATTCGAGTACATAGAACAAGTTGTCTATCTTAACAGCAGGAATGCATTTTTAGAGATTTTGAGTGTCTTTTAAAAATAACTATAACGTACACAAATAATTTTTATTACTTTTTTATAGACTATAATAGAATACGTTTATTTACCAGAATACAGTAATGAAAAAGGTTTTAAGTAAAATTAGGTACATTGCATTCAACCTGAAAGCGGATGTGCAAATGGTATTAGGATAGCGATCACCCACCCCGATTACTATCGCTTTCATAATAATATGCTCATGAAAATTACAATGTGTATCAAAAATGACCCCTATTTCTTTAAAAGATTCGACACGGCGATTACTTGTTGTTATTGCATTTAAAAATCTTAGAATAGGAAATCGGACAATTTTTCAGAAAGTGTCTAGAATTAACTAAAATATATATGTACAGCCATGAAAAATAATATTTTATTAAAATAAAGCTTAAT